AAAAATCGGAAAATCATATAATGATAATAGTTTTTTCATGCTTGGGAGCAAAACATCAAATGCTGCACTCCTGACATTTTTGGGTATGCACATATACTTGACTCTCATTAATGCTGCTTGTGATTTATATAACATTTTTAAGTTTTAAAATGTATATCAGTTATTATTTTACACTTTCAAAATTCTTTTTTGTCTTAATTTTCTATCAGAATTTTACAATTGATGTTTTTGTGGCAACACTACATTTTTTCTGTTGCACTCCTGACATGGTATAACATTTTTTTAAACATCAGACATGACCACAACCTGATTAAACAAAAGTTATGACAGTCCACATTTAAAGCTCAATACTTTGAATATTATCAGGAAAGTCTTTATTTTCAACATGAAGCATTATTTTTTATTTCACAGATCTCCAAAAAATATTGAAATTTCAAAATGTCACAAAAAGGTGTTGCACTCCTGACAATTTTAGCATCATTTTTGGGCATAACTTTTTTGTTAATTGAGATATCAACGAGATATTTGGCAGGTATTTAGACACTGTCTAAAGACATATGCTGAGACATAGAAATCTATTTTCATTGCCTGTATTTTAAGTGTGGGTTGATAAATATGCGTTTGGTCATTTTTTTTGAATTCACCCAAATAAGCTTCAATTCTAACAATATAACTCTAATATAACTCTCTAAAATATTTGAGACCTGTGTTCTTAGCATGGGTTTCACAAGAGTGACTTTAAAACATTTTTTGCATTTAATGCACTAAACATTAAATGAGATAAAACATTATTATAATATCCTGTATTGAGATCCTGAAATGTTCTTCATTGTAAACTCATGGAAAGTTCAGATATGTATTTTTGTTTGGTCATCATATGTTCTTTTTCAATGACGTTTGGAAAGGTCAATGCATTTGTTCATACAACCATGAAATCAAAAATATTAACTTTCACAAGTCAAAATCACAGTCTTCACATGTTGCTGATATTTTCTCCAACACTGCTTTCCAAAAGATTAACTGTTGAGACAAATCAACATGGACCAAAACCTCTATCATTTGAATGATCTCCTTAACTTTGAAATCTGTAAAATATTAAATATAGATAATCTATAATATACCACTAAAAAACAATACTGTTGATCACTCTCAAAGAAGGAACTTGAATTACAAGTTAAATCTTTACATCATGACTTTAAAGTAAAAAGCATGCAAAGATGGACATGTAAATTTCAGGGTCAAAGGCTACACATCCCTCAGCAATGATGGTCACATTGTAAATGTTGGTTAACGCTGATTGTTGCATTGAATATTTACAATTAGTGTAGATCAGAGTAGGTTAATCCATATAGAGATAAATGAGTCTAATCTGTATACAAAGAGGTCAACCAAGATCAAGGTAAACCCAAGTGATGGTCATGTCATCTTGCCTTGGGAAGTAGATGAGACAAGCATATAAGATCATAATTAAATAAAGCAAACAAGTATCGGTACAAAATCTGAAAGTTAAATGACAAGGTAAGGATTTGATGGCAGAATTTTAAAAACCTGATATGATGACATGTGTGTTAGTAAGCTACAAGAAGATGATCAGAAATATTTCCTTCCAAAAGAGATTGAAGTTTTCAATTTTTTAAAAATAACCTCTGATGTGACTTTTCTTTTTTCAGTCACTGTTTACCTAACATTTGTTTTTTTTTTTTATCATTTAAGTCAACTGCAATATAAACAATTCCTTTTATTGGTTTATAATGTGACATCACACATAAGGTTTGATTATTCATGCAGCCTCGGGTAGGAGAGAGCTGTAGGCGGACTCAAACCATGGCTTGAGACAATGTGATGGACACATACACAACATTCACTTAAACAAGATCTTTCTTTTCATCCAACCACATATATATTTTTCATCATAAAACTTGTACATTCTTTCATTCTGTCTACACAGAGAATAACATCTGAATCCAATCATATGTGGCAGTCAGACGGGTTCGATCGCCAGTGGCCAGATATCTCAGTTGGTAGAGCACCTGACTGGAGATTCAGGGGGCCCGGGTTCAAATCCCGGTCTGGTCTGCTGCATTTTTCTCCTCTCCCGTTACACATACAAAATATGAAAATGACTAATCAGCTCACTGTGATTATAACACCAACGTTATACCCTTATACACATGTCTATTAAATTTATAGAATCATTTCATTGTGATATAAAACTTACCTTAATACAGCGGAGGTTTTTGGGAGGGCTCCAACACAGGTATCACATGAAATGCAGAAATTGGCAGTCCAGAGAAAATATCTGAGCAGTGTTCTTTTTTGTTAAACAAGGTATTCTGTAAACATGGTAAACATAATTTAGGAAAAAAGGTTCAAAAACAATTCTTTTAAATCTAGATACATGTATTAATATTAATCTTTGTTGAACATGTTGAAGGGTGTCTGTGTTTTAACTGAATGGTATTTATTTCCTGAAACTGTGTCCAATAAAACTTTTTTTTCTCCGAGACATTATAACAATAGAGTTTTGCTTCAATCTCTCGAACATCAATAAATGTGAATTTGAATTTGATTATTGTTTGTTATCTTCATATTTCATTAAAAGTCTCTTCCATATTTTCTTTAAGCATTTTAACATCAATGTGTCAAACTATACCAGATTTCTCAATTTTTTTTATTGGTCCCATCAGGATAGAAATAACAAGGTTTGCCTGTACCATTAAAATGCAGGTCCTCAAATAAAAAAAATAATAACCTTTGAGATAAAGTGGTGGTACCATGTACATTCATTTTTTTTTTTCAATTTTATTGAAAAATCTTAGAGGTTTTTACAAGAATATTATGGTATTTATGGATCAATACCAAGATTTAACCCCCCCCCCCCCACCTTATCTTTTCCTTACAAGTGCAACCAACAACCTAAGTCTGATTGAGTATATTATGAAAAACTTTCATAAAATGAACATTCAATCAAAAATAAACATGCTTGGTAGCACTTGATTCAGCATGCTCAATGGTAACTGAAGATCAGGTAAGATCCTCTTATTATACTCCGGCCCTTTTTGATGAAACCAATGCAGTTGCAGAAATTCAAGTGTTCAATCTTAACCATTTCAAATAGAGAATATTAATTATTAATACTTTATGCAATTTTTATCTTAAAAAAAAAAAAGAAGCTTTTTTTCAATTTTGCTGCACTCTTCTTTTGATGAACAATTTACATATATCAAGCAATAAGCAAATTATGTTGACATCCTTGAAAATTTTTATCATTTAATTTACTTTTCCCCATGAGAACTACATACACTGCACTAATCTGCAAATTAGAAGGACCAAGTCCAAAATGATGGTTTGTATACATAGTACAAACTTATGTGAATATTATTTATATAAATAATTAATAATACCTGCATCTGTTTTACAAGAAGTAAAACAAAAAAGCAATAAAATTTGAATATCAAAATTCTGATTTACAAATAACACAACTGATTTACCATATATGTGTACTACGTAGAGCCACTTCACTTAGCCGTCATTGGACATTTAACTTGGTGTGTCTGAGGCTCAATGAAGGATCTTACATAAAAATTGCTCATTAATGAAAACAAAATTTAGTTATTTACTCTACTCATAATATTTGAAACCCTGTTTTTGACTAAACTATATTTTGATACAATGACGAATACTTTTGATATTTTGAAACATAGTAACATTTATCAGAGGAACCTTAACTAATTTGCCCGCTTCCGAATTGTGGTCTGCAACAAACACGTGGAAATTCTCAGATCCTTTGTATAAGGTTTAACCTTTTTAAAATTGATGTGCATCAGATCGCAGGCGTTGTCATACTCAAAATGAAATTACTGATACTAGGACTTATATCGTATATCTGAGATAAGGCTCATAATTCACAATAAACACAAAATATCAACTTACCAGCTCCTACTTTCACTTTAGCCGAATATCGCATGACAGACCTCAGAAATAAACTACGCTGAGTGAATATAGTTCTTAATTTTCGTACAATATTTTTCAATATTATATGACATCGTCCTACATTTGTAGGATTAATATGCTTATTTGATAAAAGGTAATTAATAGCCTTACCTGCAAAAGAAATAACAGACGTTAACTTCAGTCGGAACAGCTAAAACTGGGCGCGTATTAATTTATCTGGTCATTGTAAAATCAAAGACGGAGCATTCCCTGATATGACGTAAACATCGATGTTACTTTTATAATAAACAATATTAAACATTTAGATCGAAACATTGTAATAACTGGAGATGTTTTACGAGATATCTCTCTAATTGCTTTGTGTAATTGGGGTACTAGAGACATCAGATTACAAAAATAGACAGTTAGTTTCAATACCGGAATGGCAGCCCACAGATTTCGCATGGCGGACATGCCTAGTTGATGAAAAACAGACAGTTATGGAAAAAGTACGCACAGAATTGCTAGGAACGAAACAAATAGTTGTACCCATGACGTTCAACTATCTGCACATATACAACAAATGTCATGTTATTGTTTTGTTAGACCTGTAGCTGTGCAGTCCTGCAAGTGTAATATGCACATTATTGCTGCATGACACTGCAAGTGACAACCAAACTGCATACATGTCAAGACAGCTTTCCCATGGAAGATGTCATAGGTTAGTTTTCAAGAGTAAGCAAGAAGTATTTATTAAGATATTGAGATTTTTATTTAATACGAGTTTCACTTGGATGAACACAAAACCAAACCCTTAATACTGCTTATGTGGTACATGTTGTAACGTTTCACCAGAAGAGCCTCATTATCGATCATTTCTATTTTTGCTTGTTTTGATTTTCTAAACAGGTAAATCTGGCCATTTTGAAAGCGCGATAACCTCTTTAATTTTGCATAGGTTTCGATGTAGTTTTTTTCCCCTTTCGTATTATTTTATAATGATCTTTATTATTTCATAAAATAAAACGCCATTGCAGGTAATATTTAAGGAAAAAAACAACAAAAAATGTATTTTATGAATGTTTATTTTGTCAAGGAATAAAGAAGTTCACTTTTTATGGCCACATTTTCACCCCTTTAAGTCTACTAAACTATGAGTAGTAGTGATGATTTGCCTTGTAAAATGTCGCCCAAAATCTAAAAATAAAATATTTTTGATAACTTTAGAAGCCTCAATTATATATAACATAATTCTTGCAAAGTACTAGAGGGATGATATATTTCGTGTTACTTCTTAATCAACAGATTTTTACGAATACTCTACCCGACACATTTGATTTTGCAGCTAAAGAATATTGTGTACCATAACAGATCACTTTAAAGCAATTTGAATAAGATTTTTAAATCATTTATATCATTTCCTGTTTTTATTTGTAGGTCATTCGCAAAGACGTAATCCTTGTTTTCTTAATCTTTGATTTTAGAAAACATTTTAGGGATTTGACATGTAAGTCAACATCCCCCATGCAACTACCTTTGAGAGACCTTCATACATTTCATGGATTTCATCTATAATTAAGAAATAATTCTCGCATCGGAGGAATTGTTGGAGAATATACCCCTATAGTCGTAAGATCATGTTGTCAAATGAAAACCGAGCCCAAAGGAGAGATCTGACATTTCAGGGATTTGACCTATAAATATACATACCTTCTGTCATTACCTCTGAAAGATCTTAAATTTCAGAGATTTGACCTATAATTATACATACCCTCTCACATTTCGCACTCCTCCACACACTCCCGAAGTGTTAAGAAATTATTGCTGTTTCCCTCACATCCAGAGTATTCAAACATCTCGCATTTCTCTTGCTCAACATTAAAGTGCCAACGAGGCAGTCTGTCGCGACACAAGCCTCGTTCTAAGGGAAGGTCACAACGTCTTTCTGAAGAGAGAAATTTAATTTAATAGGGTCCATTAAATAAATCCTTAAGACACAATTAAATATCTGACACTGGTCTCATTAAGAAAAAGATCGTTTGAAAAGACATAATTTATATTCTGGTTGGAATGTTTGTATGCCAGGCGTTTACCCTATTTTGGTATGAAAATCATTTTTTCAATCAGTAAACAGATTTAAAAAAAACATATAAATCTCTGTGAAACAAAGAATAACATAGAAGACAATTGATGTCTGAGCAGTCTCAGAAAGAGGAGCATACAAACTGAGAAAAATAAAGACGGACAAATGAGAAGAGAGAGAACTCAAGGTTTAATAAGAGCGAGTGATTTTTGTCATGATTCAGTACTAAAAAATCTACACCTTCAACAAATTTAAGAAATGTTGTTTTCTTCTTACACCTTACATTAAAATAAAGCTAATTTGCCAAAGATGTCTAATTCAGTTTAATAGTTTATATCTGTCACTATGTACAATTTTCGAGTATCCCTATAAAGATGAGATTCCTGTACGCTCATTGATTAAATTTCAATGTGTGGTCACTAGAGCCCTATACCAGCAAATGGTGGCATATCCATTTGAGTGAAAAATTTTCGAAAGGGATGGTAAACAAAAAACAAGCAAACAAACAAATTAACTCTACGGATTAAGTTGTCTACCTGATCATTACACAAGATTCACAACAGGTGTGACCGGCCGACAAGGAATCCTTACTGGAATTCTTCGCGAATCAGATTGTTTACTGGAATTTATTAAATTACTTCACTTCTATGTTTTTGGTTCAAATGAAAAAAGAGAAAATACACAGTTTAGAGACCGGAGTTTACATCAATCTATGGTTTTATAGATATCACTGTAACAATTATCTATAGTTTTATATATATCATTGTTACAATTATCTATTGTTTTAAAATGTTTACGGGAATTGTGCTTCGTTATGTGGAAACTGTCAAATAAAGTAAACAAAATTTCTGATACACAAATATATATCTCGATTCAATGCTTACTTGTTTTTCCACAGTTTTCCTGTGTGCATTCAACTCTCCCAGTAGGTAAACATCTACAAAGGTTACAACCGTCAACTGCTTTAAAATGGTACTGAGGGGTGTACCAAATACCATCATACAGACAGGACACTGCAATAAGAGACAGGAGAATTAGGTTTATACTTTCCATAGACATGTAGATTGCATGCAGACGAATGTAGTAAGGTGTACTAGATGTCTTTATACAGAGAGAATAAATAGATGAAATAAATTAGGAGCTTATTCTGTATATATATATATATATATATATATATATATATATATATATATATATATATATATATATATATATATATATATATATATATATATATATAAAGACATTTGCCATTGACTATCATGAAGACTTAATAAAGGTGCAATATATCATTAAAATTTCACATACTGTAAAACGTACTGTAATCAACAGGGTACTAATTACGTCATTATAACAGAAATGGAATTAAAATATTAAAATGTGTTATCTCCTATAACTAGGAAATAGTATTGTCAGCAGATTGACTCGTATCAAGTATAAAGGTTTTTTTTATAACTGTTCTTGGAACATGGTATGAGCGTATCAGAGTACAACATAAATGCTTTAGAATGACATATGCTAAAAGCAATTTTATCTGAAATAACTCAATGGCTGCAAATTGTGATTAAATACATTCTTAAAATACATTTAAGTCATACATCGCTTGATGAAAGCTTTCATTCGTATCACAACGTAATGCCGATTTTTCTATTTGACAGATTGCCTTAGTGTATTCTAATGTCGATCAACTGTCAAAGCTCTTGTAAACATATCGCCGGACATAATTAAATTAACCATGACCATTGATACTTGCACCCAAGCTTAACATCAATAAATTCATGGTTTCACAAAAATATAGATTTTTTTTTATGACTGACTGTTAATCAATTTTGATATCAGGAATATTGATAGTTATCTATGTAAAAACTCACAATATTTTCTTTTGGTACACTTTTAGTAACTGTAATCATGAGCCTCGTTTTAATTTATTTAATAAGCACATACAGCATTTTCTCTTGGTACACTGGACCTGACCCTGCGTCTTAGCCTCGTTTTAAGTTACATCTACTTACAACATTTTCTGTTTGTACACTGGACCTGACCCCGTGTCTTAGCCTCGTTTAGGTTTAATATACTTACAACACTTCCTCTTGGTACATTGGACTTTCCCCCGATCACACATACATTCGTTACAGCCGTCTTTTGAGGGAAATACAGATGTTTCTTCGTATTTTATTCCATTATACTTACAACCTGTTAAATAAGTATTTTCAATTAAGTTAAATAGAAAATCCTATCTAGGAGCTTATTTAGGAATTATTATTTATTTTGAAACAAATTTCAGGGTAAGGATGCAGCCTGGACAAATTCATAATGCCCTGTGGACTACATAGGATATTTGATAACATTAAATGTTTAGCTAGAGTGTTCAAAGAAACACATGTGTCGGGCTTTACAGCGTCATTAAAGATGTAGCTAAATCTAAGAATAGTTGGCTATGTATTAACTATTATCATTATAGTTCATGACTTTGCCTTAAAGAAAAAAAAAAGCCAAGAATAGTATTAACAAACTGCAAAATATATTACAAATACCATAGAGCAACTGTCATGGAAAATATGTGCAAAATATCAAATCCATTTACAGTTCTCGAGATATAAGGTTTGACAGACGAACATACGGACAGACAGATAAACACATGTATATAGACAGAAAGATACACAGACAGACAAAAAGACACAGATCCTTAAGTGTCACTCTACTATGTCGCGACACAAAAATGATAAAATATTACTTATACGGGTGTTTACATTTGTGACTGTTTTTGTGCAACTATAACTTTTACCCCAATGAAAGATTTATTTTAAAGAATACTATATATGTTGATCCTTTTTTAAAGACAACCATCAAGTACGAACTTTCATAAATATCAATTAACATTCAGTAGTTCTAGCTTTCAGTTATATCCTATGTCAAAAGCTTATACATTATAGAAGACCCCTTTAGTTTAAGCTATCCAACACATTACAAAGAGAATGAATTGAGCATTTTCTTTGTATAAGCTGTAGACTTACACGCTTCACAATGCTTATCAGTCATTATTATTTTATTCTTCTCTACATATAATGATGTAGTAAATCTAATCTGCAAGGTTCAAGAATGTCTCAATAGAACTAGTTGACCTTGTTTGCTCTGCTTCTGATATGTATTGTTAAAATGGACTTTTGAGCTTAATACCATATATTTCATGAAGTTGAGGAATCCAGAATAGGTGTGGTAAATCAAATTCATTTTGATTGTTGGGAAATTAAATGTGTTTAAAACTGACATCTGCTTTTCAAGAATTTCCTCCTATATGGTATATGTATAAGCTGGATTACCATTTGCAGAATTAAGTCCCAGTTCCTCTAAATTATTATTTTAATAATGGGCCTTACAAATAATGACTATACTGTTACCTGCTTTATCAGCAGGGACCAGCATTAATAGTTCGTTCAATCTATCTAATTCTCTTTTCACATCTGAGTTATTAAACACAGAAGGATAGATGGTTTCATACTGCCCCGCAATCGCTTAATGCGAGATTTTTACATCCATCTTATACATAAAATCCATTCTGACAAAGTATCAAGGTCTGGCATAATCTTCCACAATATTCATATTTTTTTGAAATTATGACGGTAGTTAAAAAATCGGGGTGCCTAAAATTTTGGCCCTTTTAAAATAAGTGATTTAAGGTCCTTATTATTTACTATATTTAGTCACCAGTAATGACGTGTCCATCAGGACTATAGTTGTAGGGTAAAAAAGAATCTGAAAACGTTAGAGGATAATGTTTCAATGTTTTCTTGTAATTAAAAACTTTGGAAGGAATAATCATGCAAATTCATGCTCTGAGTACGATCAACTTTTTTTAAATCGAGACAAGCTATAATTTAATAAGTTGATGTTACAAGGATTTCAACAAAATCGTTTCAGGTCAGCTTTCGAGATTTTATTTGTAAATACAACTTTTCAATTATCGTATGGTATACTCCTCCATGGCACCTGATCCCCCCTCTGATGTTTTAGAGGTCCGTGTTTGCTCTGCTCCTATTCTGTATTGTTTATTGGACTTTTGAGCTTGAATACTGTTCGTTATCTCCATATATTTGATTTTGGCAGAATTCATGCTTGTGTCTTGTCTGACATGTTTGACACCATTTGTTAGGTCATTGCTTTTACACTAAATTTGCCTACGGAGTAATTTCTACACCTGATCACTCAGTAACCCGTCAAGAGGGGATACCCTCTCCTTCTAGACACCTGATCCTGCCTCTGGTGTTTCCAGGGGTCTGTGTTTTTGCTCTTGATCTGTTATTTTTACTGGATTTATGAGATTGATCACTGTTCGTTATCTTCACCTTTTACATTCTAACAAACATGTCTTACATATTAATCATGTGTATTTGGCATTTTAATGTTTGCTTAGTACCTTGTGTATTATAAATAATGTATTACCGTTTGGTATGTTAACCGCCTCCATACACCTTCTTTCAAGTCCACAGCCGTACATACAGCACTTCTGGTCTAAAGTATAATAATCAGCATATTTAAAAACAGAAATGTTTTCATATATTTATATTTTTTAAGATAAATTATTTCAATCCTCTTCATTTCTAACATATATAACACATTAGAGAATTTAAGATCTTTTAGCAAAAAGAAAGAATGCCTTTTCAATAAATGCTTAACATTCAAATTCAACATATTGCAAATGTTACTTCGATACAAGGACAATGATTGTTAATAGAATCATCCTCATGTTGACTGACGTCTCTTATAAAAGGTGTTGTTATTTAATTACAATGATTGTAAATAGAATCGTCCTCATGTTGACTGACGTCACCATACAAATGTTACTTCGATACAATGACAATGATTGTTAATAGAATCGTCCTCATGTTGACTGACGTCTCTCATACAAATGTTACTTCGATACAATGACAATGATTGTTAATAGAATCATCCTCATGTTGACTGACGTCTCTCATACAAATGTGACTTCGATACAATGACAATGATTGTTAATAGTATTTGTCCTCATGTTGACTGACGTCTCTTATAAAAGGTGTTGTTATTTAATTACAATGATTGTAAATAGAATCGTCCTCATGTTGACTGACGTCTCTCATACAAATGTGACTTCGATACAATGACAATGATTGTTAATAGTATCTGTCCTCATGTTGACTGACGTCTCTCATACAAATGTTACTTCGATACAATGACAATGATTGTTAATAGAATCGTCCTCATGTTGACTGACGTCTCTTGTTAATAGAATCTGTCCTCATGTTGACTGACGTCTCTTATACAAAGTGTTAATAATATCTGTCCTCATGTTGACTGATGTCTCTTATACAAAGTGTTAATAGTATCTGTCCTCATGTTGACTGACGTCTCTTATACAAAGTGTTAATAGTATCTGTCCTCATGTTGACTGACGTCTCTTATACAAAGTGTTAATAGTATCTGTCCTCATGTTGACTGACGTCTCTTCTTAATAGAATCTGTCCTCATGTTGACTGACGTCTCTCATACAAAGTGTTAATAGTATCTGTCCTCATGTTGACTGACGTCTCTTATACAAAGTGTTAATAGTATCTGTCCTCATGTTGACTGACGTCTCTCTTATAAAAGGTGTCGTTATTTATCTACAGATTACTCGAACATGGCACCTGATAAAACCTCGGACGTTTTTGCTGGTTTGTCTTTCCTCTACACGTAATTTGTATTGTTTCAATGGACCTTTTTTGTCTTTATCTTCACATTTTATACATAATATTTAAAAAAAAAATTAAACGTATCTTATTACGCATAATCATAATAGGATTGGACAGCAGGCACTGCCTATATATCTTCTCCATAGAAAAATCATATAGCCTCTACTTTAAAAAAGATGGAAATTTTTATTAATATGCTGTATTTTTTTTTTAATTTTCAACTTTCCATTAAGACTTTCAATTGATTATGTATAACTTTCAGGATTCCCAACGTAAAATCTTTAAAAAGATAATATTTTATTGAATAAAATATAATAAAAGCATTTCCAAAGAAAAAGATTTGTTTTTATTAGAGAATATTAAGATTTATATTACCATGAAGCAGAATTTATTCAAAAATTTCTTCCTAAAAAGAAAACTGAGTTGTGGCCTTCAGATCGACATAAAGGTATATCGACTGTTTCGTTTTGTTTTGTTTTTCAATTATCAATAGCAACTTTCATTCATATGTCAGACACTATAGAGACTACCATATCTGTTTCTTATTTGGATGTTTTACTGACTAGAGACAATAAAGGCCAACCAACAACTAAACGAGATGACGTCAAATTTCCCATCGTCAACTCTCTTTATTTACGAGGGTTGTCCAAAAAGTTCGTGGACAATGGCGTTTTTGTCAAAATGAATTGTTCAAGATATACTTATTGTATACCAAAATATGAATTATGAAAATCCAATTCAGAGTAGTTTGGTTTTTATTGTTTGAAATTAATATTTTTGTAAAAATCGCGGTCATTAAAGGTCGCCGATAGTGTGCACGGACCAGGGTTAAAATGCCATAAACTTTTTTAAAAAGTGTTCTGATTAAAATGATTATTTTCTCTATAAAACGAGTCAAATCTTAATAAAAATTTAATTTGTCGCAAATAAAGCGGCTATCGTCATTTTCTGATATCTTTAGTATCGCTTACTAAGTAGACAGTGAGAAGATTAAGCAAAAACCTCAAGAAGTATGTTTCAAAAATTGACAGAAAAAGCGACGTCGGCCATCCGAACAGAACAGCGTCCAATCACACAATTATGGCCTAATATGGTTGAAACGACATCAGACACAACATATTTATTCAAACAACTTGAAATTATTGGAATATGTTTAATTCATTGATTTGTAATTGGTGTATATGATTTTTCAACGGTGTGTAAAATTTCGGAGACACCAGAAGTTACAAATCTAGCGCTGTCGGATCGGGCTGTGCAACCTGTGTATACAAAGTGTTTATATTGATGACGCTCGTAAATTATCGTGTATTGTTTTGAGTTTTAAAAATTAAATCAATTATGGTCTATCCATAAATATTATTGCACACACTTGGCAGTGTGGAATAATAAAGAAAAGAAGCGTGTGTCCATAAACATGTGATAAAAATTCAAAATCCATTTTTTTACGTTATCATGAAATTAGCGTTACGTCAGACTGTGCCGTGCGGCTTGCATATACAAAGTATTTACACCTATAATGTTCATAAAATAGTGAGCATTGTTTTAATTTTTTATATATTTACTAAATCATGGTCTATATTAAAATATTATCGTGCACGTTTGCTATTGCGGACTTTATTAAGAATATTAAGCAAGTGTCCACGAACTTTTTGGACAACCCTCGTATGTAGAAAATAAATCAACTATTTCCTGCATATGGTGTGTGTCTCCAATTTATTCCATACTCTGTTGCATGCTCGGAGAATGATGAATTTTAAACCGATGCAGGATACTCACAAATACATTTATTTTACTGGCATTTCACTCACCTCGATTAAAGTAGCATTTCATAATTTCTTTGGTATTAATAATCACCTTGTTAGCACATACACCAATCATTGGGTTGTATTTTGACTGATATAGTTTATACCAATTGTTACGCTTTTTTTAAAAAAAAAAAAACTTGACTGGGGTTTATTCAATCAATAAACAGAGCTCACGGCAGGTGTTACCGTTCGATAGGGAATCCTTACTTCTAGCACCTTGTCCAACCTTTGAAATTTCCAAGGTCCAGTTCACAGATTTGTAGCTTTTTTTTAAAAATTTATTTATTTATTACTTATTATTTATTTAATTCGAGATCGATAACTGTTTGTTATCTCCATATTTCTTTTTAAATCTATGTACGATAAATTCGTTCAATTTAAACACGAAAATAATGATTTGAGTTTTTATGTACCGGGAAAGATAAATGACTTACGCCCAAGACAGTCGTAATCACTGTTACAGAAGGTAAACCACAGTTCATTAATACAAGGTTTTCTGAGGGCCCTTCTCGGACATTCTCCGGCCTAGGAATAGAAACATGAGAATTTATGGGTTTAAATGAATGATTTTTGCATGGTCCTGCTTCGACATTCTTAAATATTTTTTGATATTCTATAATTTCTAAACATCATTGAATATTATTTAAGCATAAACAATTCTGTCTGATTATTGTAAAAATATTCATTGATTGTTCCAAAAGAAATTTGAAGTAAAAATGTGTATAAAATTATTTTTACCATTTTTAAGGTGAAAAACCAAATCATTCTCAATTCGTTTCATTTTTTCCAACTGGTGCCTACCTTGTCAAAACGAAAATCGTTTCTAGTCGCGACAGAACGTGGTGAAAATGAAGCCTCCTGAAATATGAAAAGATATGTGAATGGTTGGTGCATTTGTTATCTACTACTGGTTTATTTCCGTCCAAGCTTATAAAATTGGCTATATGGTCAGACTCTGTGACCTCTGACCTATTATATCGCCAAAACACTTTGAAATACCTAAATTTGCCTTGATGGTGACTAAGTTTTTAAAATACTGTTTCACATTTCATTAAATGTATCAAGGTACATTGAATTACAGAATCACAGAGCAAACGCAATTTACGCAAAAGTACATTTTTATCTATATGTTTTGAATCAAATCAGCTCTATTTCTCTAAAAGCGTAACCATGCAGATAATAATCCAAATCTAAGTCACAATCAAACTTGAATATGTATATAAGTCCTGAAAGTTTTAGGGAAATATCGGTAAGAAAAAATATAATAAATGTTAAAAGATTAAGAATATTTATGATATCGCTAGTATAAAGCAGACATTGCTAATTGTTGATTATATCTAACTTTATGAAAATATGCAATTATTTTGTCATGAAATGAAGACCTTTCCCCTTTATCTTTTAAATCACAATATTTGTGAAAACAGAAATAAGAATTGAAAATTTAGACCTGGCTTATTTAGAACCTATAACAAATTAACCTCAATAATGATATAAATGCTTTACTTTGAGATTTTTTTGCCTGCATGAATGTCTTTCCTTTATTTTTCTTTCACCTGTATAAATGTCTTACCTGCTGGAATCGGAGGTCCCTAAATGGTGTATAAAGCTTTTTAAATCTCTGTGACAAAACCTACAGAATGGATAAAATACATATTATATAAGAGATAAGAGAATGTCCTAAATGCAATTTCTTTGTAAATAATTCATAATTATATATTATACATACACTATATTACATATACAACGCTGCTGTTATTCAACTGAAACTATTAACTATATGTTTATCATCATTTTTAGAATTTCCATGAATAAGCATTAGTTGTTAAAAAATCTGTAGGGAAAAGGGAAAATGGCAATTTGCTTTGCTAAAAATGGAGATATGGAACTGTAATAGAGCTGAAAAGTCCATTGATACAATACAGATCTGGGACAGAGCAAACACGGACCTACAAAGCATCAGTTGTGGGATCAGGTGCTATTGAGGAGTAAGCATCTTCTTTCGACAGGTCACATCTGCTGTTTGCTCCTTGTCTTGATCAAGTTAACGGAAAAATTTATAGATAGGCCTAACTCAGTGTTTAAATAATGGTCCTACAATAAGTATGAAACACGTCCGTCAGCATTCAGAAACAGACTGAATGATATATGCTCATAATCCATTAAATCAATATAACTCGGGAACAGAGCAAACAAAGACTTCCAAAAACATCAGAGGCGGGATCAGGTGCCATGGAGGAGTAAGCATCCCCTGTCGACCGGTAACACGCGCCGTATGTTCCTTGTCACCATCGGGAAATAACGGGGAAAAATCCGTAGAAATTTCAGTGTGTAAATAATGGCATAACAATTAGTAAGAAAAACGTCAGTCAGCATTTGACTTAATGATAGATTGTATTTGCTAACAAGGTCATTGTATCGACCAGAGAACTTACGAAATGATGACTTCAGACGAGACTGTTGATGTTCCTGTTCAATCAATTTGCAATTGTTGGTCAATATTTATTATTTACTTATTTAAAAAAAAAATGTTCGTATGTAGAGTATGCTCTTTCGTATCGAATCAACTGAGAGACATAAACTCCATATACAGACGAAAGGGGGATATTGCTATATAAATAAGGGAGGTTGACGATAGAAGTGTTGAAGTTATCACGTTTATCACATTATGTTTTGTTGTAAAGTTACCGTTAACGTTTTTTTCTAGTAAAGTGTCCAAATATGAGTCAGAATCTGTTCAAGTTCAAGGTCACTGGGATATATCAACTTTGACATAATGGAAGTAACTATTGTTAATTGAAAATACGTCGTCTATATATTTAAATGTCGAGCTGATGACCAAAGCAAGTGTTTTTCTTCATCTTATGTAGAAGATTTTGATGAATAAATTCTGCTTCATGTGAATAAAGAATAAGTCTGCTAATAAAGGGGTGCAAATATAACCCTTGGAATTTCCGATAGATTGTTGGAGGACTTGTTATTTAGGCCTTGGTTTAAGTTTTTTTCTGTTGTATTATACAAATGTTTCTTTTTTCACATCCAAATTACTGTTGCTTGGATTAAGAACGTACATTCTTACTTATACCAATCCAGCGAAGGAAAACTTGATAGAGCCCTAGGTTGAAGCAATATTTTAACAAAACTTAGAAACAATAATTGTAATAAATTTGAGATTTTATCCAATCAAATTAATTTATATATTAAAATTTTGTTAAACAAATCAAACTTATCGGTTAATGAAATATTGCTATTATTTGTAAAGCATTAATCGATCAATAAATCGCTTAAAATTGAAGCAGGAATCAATTTACAACAAAAAGAGTGATTTTATATACTCACCGATGAAAAGAACAAAAGGCTTAGAATGAAGAATCTCCACATCGTGATAAGAAAAGGAGACACAGTTTTGACGAGTAATGAAGTCAGTAATGTAGTCAGTAGTATAGCCAGTCCAGAAATCTGTTTTATATTGTTTTATCGTTTGTTTTAAATCGTATAGTCGAAAGGAAGTCTGGGTCAATCTGCCTTCAATGTGTCTTCATTCAACTGTAATTAATTAATTAACTAATTAATTGATAAATCTCCTGTGATTGATCACATTTTGAATTACTTTTCTAAAGACAAAAAATGTAATCCTCGATACATTTCTATTGTCTTATTGCTCTAAAACTTTTTAACAGATTGGAGGAATTCTTTTTCCTTATGTTTACGAAAGGCTCATATAATGATCTGTAAAATAAATTTTAGGGGTAAAAATGTCATTAATACCCGGTAATCTATTTTATTTTGCCATATCATCAGATAAAATAAAGTATATACCGCCCAAACAGAGGAATTATAATCAAATTCTTAAAAGTATTCTGTAGAAATGGGACGGTACAGTGATGAGTGGATTGTTAATATTAGAACAGAAGAAGATATATTCTAACTGATTTGTAATATATACAGATTACGAAAAGGATACTTTCAAAAGAACTCAGGATACAGTATATGTAAGAATAAGGAGCAGATACGGAAACTCTGCCAATAGTTCATTTATATATACACGTTCTATATATTTATTTTCTTCAGAACCATTTCAATTTTGAAAATCGAGGAACAAATTCAAATAGGCTATCGGATCATAACATATATAATGCAAATAAACAATGATTAAGGAAGCGATACATTAAAAAAAAAAACCCAGAAAAGTGGTGTTTACAATTGAATTCAAAAATTCAGTGTTAAAAATGTAAAGGAATTAAGGGGTCTATCAAATTTCGCAAGAAAAACATATTACGTTTGTAATAGGGTAATACACGAAAATATTCGATGAAGTTATCTTACATACAGGGATATTTGAAAAGTTCTGAGAATGATTTATTACAATGTAAACCTTTAAAGAGAAGTTTTTGATGTTGATATAATTGAATTGAAAGGAGTAGGACAATGTACAAATATTTGAAGTCATTTTTGTAATTTTTGTGATTTTTAGCTTAAAAAAAATGAAAAATAGTGAAGATAACGAACAGTGATCGATCTCAAAAAACCTAGCTATAAACAATACAATTCTGCAAAGACGGCATAAAACACTGACCCTTGGAAATCTCGGAGGTGAGATCAGGTGCCTAGGATGAGTAAGCATCCCCTGTTGACCGGTCATACTCGCCCTGAGCCCTATGTATTGATCAGGTAGACGCAACATTCCGTAGTTTAATTCAGTATAAAAACAAAGCCTAACAATTGGTATAAAACAAGAGACGTAAGAATCCCGTATGTTAAGTATACAGAGAGTTGCATTATCTAACCTCTTGCGAACATTGGAGTAGGGATATAAAGGGCTTCAGGTTAGACATTCATAGATGATTTTACTCTTATGGTATAGCTGGTCTTTCTGTATATTGTATAGCTCTCTTCTGTACAAAATAAAACAACACGGACCCTTTTTTTCAATATTGGACTAATAAGCGAAACCCCCGAGGTTCAATATTCCCGCAAGTTGATAAAAACACCTGTGAAATTCATATATATTTTGAAGTATCTTCCGTTGTTTTTCCGTCATTGTCAATTTTTCAAATGTTAGCAGCAACAACCTTTTCCACCTAATAATGAGCTTGTGTTTTGACAAAAAAAAAACAAGCCATACTTGATTTACTTTTAGACCACCTTAAAACTATAGGAGCTTTTGATAATAACGGAATGTTTACATTTATTTTGTTTTCTCCTAATAAAATGCATTATACAGTTTCAAGTGATATTTATACGTAACACACAACACCCAGTCACAAGAGTCTGTTAGGCGTCCGAATACAAAAACTACGTAGTTTTATTACTAATCTGGCTTCCTGTCCCTGATATGTTTGTGTTATCCTGGATGAGCCAGGCTACCAAAAATGTTTTTTTTTACAAACAAAATGCCTGCATTAGTTATCTTGTATCATTTGTTTATAAATAAAATAAATTAAAGTTATTGTTGTTAGATCTCCAAAATTCAAAATTTGGGTAATTGGGTAATTAATCTTTCATTATAAACTCCTTTCTTTTACAGTAGATGTTCCGAGGGCTCCTCAATTAATTGAAACTTATCCGAAGGATGAGACAGGATTTTTGAAAAATGGAGCAATAATTTGGTCAAGGTTGGGAATTTAAATTGAAATATAAGCATTGAATTCTTAAATTTTGAAAGATATAGTCTAGCACTGCAATGGTATGTACAAACAAATTTACATAACTCCCTTACACGAGTTTATTTAATTCATTTGCTATAATATTACATCTTTCAAAGAATAATAATCCAGTGTTTATCTAAGACAGACTTTAATCTCTGCTTTCTTCCTCCCAACTGGCAATTGTTTCAGTTAAGATGCAACCAAGTTCAAATTTTACTTTGCTGAAATTGTTGTCTGTGTTATATACATGTAATTATTATAGAGAGTAATTATGTAAGCATAACATATGGGATTCTGATGACATTTTCATTTTCGGTGTTCTAAACTATGTCAGAAAACTTAGAAAGAAACTATAAAATTACATAATACACGGGATAACACTGCGTCATCAAGTCAACTGAATGGTCAATGAAAGGTCTTGAAAGGTGACTGAATGACAGAGCTTTCATCCAGTCACCTTTTAGTAAACTGAATGGCATAGTTTCATCCTGTGAATATGTGCATATGTTCCTATTCTTTTAAATATCAACTATCATAAACTACAACTAAACTTTTCATATATTATCAAATCATTCTAGGAACTTTAAATTGCCCCTCGGAGATATATACATTACTCAAGGACATTTATTAATAATGTAAATTTTCCTCGTATTAGAAGAAAACATTTGGAAGGTCTAGTCTGTAAGGTCACGTGACGTGGTATGTTAGTTGCACTACCATGTCAAAGTCCCAGAAGTGCAAGTTTTACAATGCAATGTTGAATCCTCTACCTCTCTGCAATAATAACAATATCTGTTCAACACATCTAAAATAAAGGTGATATATTTCTTGGTTAAGTTCCGTTTTGTCCAACGCCCAGTATAAAAAGGTGTCAATCTGCAGGTTTCTCTAAGGGGCACAGGTTCTGAAAGTACGGTTGGTGCGCCCTGGATTTTACTTCGGGATATTAACAATGTATCATATGCTGGTATACTATCAGCAGATAACCAGTTTTGGTAAAAAACAAACAAAACATTTACTAAAATAAAAGATTGTAAGGTTTCAATCAGATTTATATTTTTGACAATCCTTTTTCGGCCCTCATGTGTTCCATTTTCAAATGTTCAACTGAAAATTGTAAACTTGAAGCATTTTGATGATAAGTATTTCCTTTAATAGCAAACTTTACTGGACAAAGTTTTATATTAAAACTGGTTAAAATTTTACTTGTAAATCTTTAAACATCGTCTATGAAATGGAATGTACTCTATGCAGACGGATTTATACTGGGGTCAAAGTGTTGCTCAATAAGAGAATGTCGGATCATAGATGTGAAATAAATACAGAGGGGCATCGACATCTTTATAGACATTTCAATTCGCCTGACCACTCTATCCTGCCAATGAGGGCGAGAATTTTGGGGAAAATTATACCATCCGCGTTAAAGGGGTTCGTTCCTGAGCTTTGAGCAGATTTTTGTCTTGACCTCTATTAAAAAAATTCTGCATAATGTTTTATTTCTTAAAAAAATTTGGATTCTACAATGCTAATTAAACTATACTCAATTAAAACCCCATTAAATGGGGAACTATATTTTGTGGCGGAAGGTTCTCTTTAGAAGAAAATTTTTCTCTTTCGGAGTATTTACAGTATTGTTAAGGTTGGATTCCTATCTTTCCATGCAGCCTGCACACAGAGTTATTTTGTGCAGTGAAATGTTTTATGCTGGTCCTAAATTATATATTAAATTAACTGTCATGAATTCTATCATCATATTTGACAAATATATCAAATATATTGTGAAAGTCCTGGGGGAAAAAAATAGCCCAATTTAAGCTTAAAATTAACACTATTTTAGTAATATCTAATTCTTTTTTTTACATTCAGCCTGCACACAGAATTGTTTTGTGCAGTGAAATGTTTTTTTTTTTTGCTTGTCCTAAATTATATATTAAATAACTGTCATGATTTCTATCATCATATTTGACAAATATAGCAAATATATAGTGAAAATCCTGGGAAAAAATAGCCCACTTTAAGCTTAAGATTAACAATATTTTAGTAATATCTAAAAATTAACATCACAGACCCCACTTTTAATTTTCTTTTCTGAATATATAAGATAATTTTAACTATTCTGTTTCATTTCAGAAAAATGTCAATACTTTTTAATGATTTTATTGCTTGTTAAATTTTTAATGCCAGAGAAATGACATTTTTTGAGTGCAGAAATGTCAAATAATTGACTATGCCATTTGAAACTTTTTTGTCGACACAAATTTTAATGTGACTATTCAAAATGAGAAAAGACTGTGTTTGTTTCAATAATTTATTTGGATAAAAAATAGTATAGGAAAAACTGAAAAATTGATTAATGTGAAAGACGTAATTACAGTGCAAAAAGGTCAATTAAATGCTGTGTAGCGCCAAAAGAAGTGCACTGAACCCCATTTTTTGCTATGATTTTTGATTAAACTATATGTGTAGATTCTAAAAGTATACTTCATAAAAAATTCCCAATACTTTTGATAACAGGTTCCAACCTCCTTGAACTAATTGCAAATCGATGAGCAAGAAATAGTCGGATTATTCCTAGTAAATTGTTTAATCATTTTATCTCTAACCCGTCGCCCGCGTGGCGCAGTGGTTAGAGCGTCTGCTCTAGAGTCGCGGAGTAAGGAGTTGATCCTTACATCGCGGGTTCGAATCCCTCTGAGGGACGTGGAGACCGGTCCTTCGGATGAGACCGTATAAACCGAGGTCCCTTGTCGCAGTAGGTGCTTGCA